TTCATTTTATGTACTTTGCTCAGTCCTAAGGAGATCCACACCCTTGGTCAACGTTGGGTTCCCTTAACCCAAGAATGCAGCAGATTATAAATTAGATTCAAATGCCCTAACCAATACTCAAGGTTTGGTTTGGCCTAATAGAGTAAAACGTCCTATCAACAGCTACGAAAATTTAAGGACGTGCCTCCATGAGTGTTGTGTATGCATACATGTGTGTATGTGTGCTGGAGGCAGGGTATGTTTGTGTATTTGCCTCCTTTTGATAGCGCGGATATAATGCTGACTTTATAGGGCTACGTCACTGACATACCACACCGAAAGACCATGCAAAGCATTTCGCCCGTTTACATTATACTGACAACGTTTGAACCAGTTTTTGCCATAACCCCTAATGCTAAACGTTATGCAGGGAATAACAACTACCATTTTTAAAAACTTTGGTATGCCCCGGCCTGGGAACAGAACCCATTGCCTTCCTCACCTGGGCGAACGTTCAACATTCAAGCCCAAAAGGAGGTATAAAGCATTCAGAAATAGAGAGAATTATAAAGATCCCAACTATTTCAATTGGTAAAGCAGATTCATTTTGGTGGCTTACGAGTCCCCAAATAGAAGACACAAAAGGAAATCCCCCATTCTGCAAAGGTTCCCTCATTAGTGGCCTCTTAAGATGCATGCAATGGGTAACAGCAGGTGTATTCTTTTCACGATCCCTGACCTGCAGGGGTGGCTAAGCAGGAGATAACAACAACTATAATTAAGGACTGGTATGTCTTGGCCTGGAGACAGAACTCATTGACTTCTTTGGCGAACGTATAACATAAAAAGTGAAAAGTGAGGTGTTGCCAAGGAAGGCTCTAGAAAATAAAAGGTAGTAAGAAGTAGAAAGAAATATAAAGATCCAAAATGTTGCCTACTGCATGTTTCAGACTAGGCGACTTATATGGGAACCCACTGCAGAATTGGGGATTTGCTTTTTTGCCCTCAATTTGGGGACAGAAAAGCGACCATAATATATCTGCTGCATCCATTGTTTAATGTCCTATCAACCGCTAAGGTCATTTAAGGACGTGCCTCCATGTGTGAGGATCTACGCTATGGTCAGGAGGCAATAAAACCAAAAGACATAAACACATGTTTGCATACATTACATACATGGCGACACGACTAAATGACAATAACACGTTTAACAAAGTAAAACCAAACCTATCAGAGTAATTTTTAAATGAAATAGCAAACAAAATATCCTGATATTGCCTGACCTGTTTATACTTCGAACCGAAGGGGTAAAAACGTCACCCACAGATAATAAATCGTATTTGAGTATGTGAACAGGTAGGTACTTACTTTTTTAGGAGCATACCTAGGGCAAGTAATCTCAATGATGATGATCTACCTGAAGATTCTACGCGCGACGTAATGGCAAAGTATATGTTATATAATCACGTGACCAATTTAAAATGACTGGTAGTTAGTAGGGTATGTCAAGGTATTTTGGTCATATTACATGTGTTAGGAACATTGGCCTTATAAAATACAATACAGAAAAAAATTAGCTCGATAAAGAAAAGATATGTTATAATGTGCAGTACAACAGTACAGATCTCACATGATAATATAACATACGAATTGTTTGTGTTCAAATGAGTTTAATTGAATAAGAGTCTCCGGGTGGTGCAGTGGATAGCGAACTTGTCTTTCACCAACGTGGCCGGGGTTCGATTTCCCGATCGGACGTGAAAAGGTTGGGGTCACCTGCCCTGCCCGACCGCATGGGTCTTCTCCGGGTACTCCGGTTTCCTCCCTTATAAAACCCCCCATGCGCTAACATCCGTGCCAACAAGAGCGAATAATATACATTATGTAAGTTGAAATAACTTGTTTCATAATTGTTGCAAAATAAAAATAAATTATATTTATAATAAAATTGTCTTTAAAGGTTTTTAACGTAGTCATAAAAGAAATTTCCTTTTTGAAGACGGTTGCGTGTGTCATCAATCAGATTCCTGGAAAGCGTTTGCTAAACAAGAAAACACTTACTCGTAAAATATAAAATATGTGTTGCATTAACAATATACAAACATAATATCGCCCATAACATTATTTATAGAATAGCATAATAAATATGTAAGATCTAGCGCTTGGCCTTTCTTTCTGTTAGGGCTTCTTTAGGTATATATATTAGAGATCTGGAATTGTTACGTTGAATACAATATGTATTTCACGAGTAAGGCGAAATACTGATATCGAGTGTCGGGTATTACTGATAATTTCCACGAGTACCAGGTATTATGTCTATAAACAAATCCAAAGGTTTTAGTTAAAAAAGCATAAATTCTTTTTTATGTTTTCACCTGATATAAATATATAATGTATATTATGATGAGGGGTTGGAAGTATTTCGAATATTATATATATATACTACTTCATACCACCTACACAATGAATGATAAATTGGTTGTCGCCGTTTGGCAGCGTGGGAATACTTGAGAAAACGTTGGGAACGACTTAGGAATAACTTTAGATGTATTTTTTCATTGGGTATGACAGGTGACAGGTAAAAGTACGAATGGAGAAACCGTTGTCTAGAATAAAACTGTTTTGAAAATATCTTTCTACACCATACCTAGGTTCAAGGAATTCCTCTGCACAAAATATGTATTTGTGCCCGTTTGTCACTGAGGGTGTCGATGATCATTTGGTATTGATTTGACTATTTATTAATGGAGAAATGCATGAAGTACATATAGTATTATATAGATTATAAACAGTTCATCCCACAGAATTTTCAGGGTTTGTTGCAAAAACATTGTTTTCATGATAATCCCTAAAACACAGTGTGATAATATACAATTCTAAGAGATGAAAGTTTACCAAGCTGACACTATTGTAATAATAATTCAATATATCGCAAAACCTTCGTATTACTGATATATTTAACAAATCCATAACCTTAACATTACCATTCCTCTCATGAAAAACAAGTATATTTTTAGTATGACGAGTCCTTCATCTCCGAGGGATGGTATGCAATCCGTTCACACAATGAATCTTTCAGGTTGATCAGACAAAAAGTTAAAAAAAAAATGTGTTCTTAATCAATAATACAAAATGCAAAAACGTTTTCAAATCCGAAGACAAATATATTGGGGGAGTTGCTTCCCCTTAACTTCAATCAGATACTACCAAACGATACATCAGGTGACACGCATACTGTCTATGTTCGATCCCTGACAGAAATGGATTTGTTTCCAATTAATCCTGATCATAAATGGATCAAAATAGGAAACCTTATTCATATATCAGTCAAAACATATATATGAAAGTTTTGATAGAACATTTTCTTCGGGTATATTACGCAAAGAAAAAATATCAATAGTGTGAATACAAGGTGGTCACAAATTGATGTTCGCTATTTTACTAAAACTCATAATAGACAACACAGAAAAAATACATTTCATTGAAATGATACTGATATTTAAAAAATAACTTTTTTTTTCGGCTGAGTTCTCTCTCTCCCCACCCCGTTTCCTATCCTTGAAATAAATGTCCCTGTCAATCCATATATCATTTCCTCCGTTTAAGCCCTGAACAAATTCTGATACAGTGCACTGTTATACATGTAGTGTTTGAGAGTTTGTTCATAAGAATTGTTTGACAGATGAATTGTGGATTTAGACAGAAACATGGTTTTAGTCAGCGAAAGAGTGGTAGACAAGCTTAAGTGCAAAAATAAATTAAGAACATACAGTCGATACGAAACCTCATTTCATACTTAAGATATATGCTTAAAATGTTTCATGCAGGCGTTCATGAACGCGCCTCATACTATAGGCGTATTAATACAAGCCGTTAATTCCAGTATCTACCATTGGAAAATACCCTGCAATCTAAAACGTAGAAATTAGAAATCGGACAAAAGTGATTCATGGTCACTTTTAAGTATGGAACAATGATACAAAATTCTGTTTTCCATCCATTGATCATAAACGCCAATATCATTTGATATGTACACAGATGCATACATTTGAGTCTATCAGACATATGTAGCATTAGATCTTATGCCCATGATATATCTTAACAAGATATCCCAGAGGGATCTTGGCGCCCACCATTATACCATCTTCATTAGTTCTATATCAGTTCGATCTTTACTCTGATTTATTTTATTGAGTAATGTAAACAGTAAATGTACCTTGAGATAACCATTTGTATATTTCATCAAATCTTAAAAGGAAACATGCACAATTAAGGACCAAGGAAAACCTACCGAACAAATCCTGAGAAATAGTTTAAACAAGCATTCAATGACGAATATCCAAGAAAGCCCCTTGTCAGCCATTTTGTTTATTTAAACCATCCCAAAACTTAACATGCTTAATAAGAGATTAAGAGAAACCAATATATGAAGTTTGAGAAAGATACTCCAAGTACTTCCTGCGAAATAGCGATAACAAACATTCACGGTAGAAATCCAAGATGGCCTCCTATCGACTATTGTGTTTATCCGATCAGCATCAAAATTAAATTTGATCAATTACAGACAAAGGAAAACTTACACATTAAATTTAAGAAAGATCACTCAATATGCACAACTACGGACCAAGGGAAGTTTACAGATCAAATTTGAGAAAGATCCCTCAAGTACTTCCCGAGAAAAAGCGATAACAAATATTCGCTGTAAAAATTAAAGATAGCAGCTTGTCTGCCATTTTTGTTTATTAAATCAGTCTCCAAAGTAAATATGCACAGCTAGGGACAAGAAAAATACACATATGGAATATAAGAGAAAGATCCCTCTGGTACTTTCCTGAGAAATAGCGATAACAAGAATGGTTAAAGGACCATGGACAACAGGAGATTTGAATAGCCCACCATCCAATGATGGTGGGCTAAACAATAATCATATAACAAATGCGAAAATGAAATTAATCAAAATACTTCAAATGATCTAATCACTCGCACAACTGAATACATATCAAGTGAAATTAACTACCACGTCAGCGTTTGATATAGTGCTGAAGGTCAATGTAATGAGGAAGATAAAGTATGTCTTTTCCAACAGTATCGGGGTGAGTGCTTAGCACGTGCCTCAAATCCGCCAGTACGCGCTGTTTATCATCCGGGGACTTTTGTGATATCACAGACATAGTCGAGTAAAGCTCGATGAGGCCATCAACAGAGTACTGGAACATATTACAATGGTATCTCAAATCAGTATTTAAAACATAATACATGTATGCAAAAAGTATCAACAAGGCATAAATTAATATAAAATAAACCAGTGGTGGTTTTGGGATAGAATAGACAAGTAAAGAACAATACGTGTACGTTGTATGTGTAGCGGGGGAATCCCCTATTTTTTCTGTGCATGACGTCATCAGTTTACGCGTTCGGGTATCTACTACACGTACGCCGAACTTGGAAAGCAGGCGCTTCACATAAGTACCAACGTGTAGACATTTTGATGAAATCAATGCTGTTTTGTCTGAGAAAAACACTGATCAAACTAATTTTGAATTTGCCGATTAATGTTAATAAGTATAGGCATTTGAAATGAATGAAATATATCAGAAAAAAAATCTTCTAGAAATGAGAAGTCGCTGAGGCTCCCTCGGTCTCTGAAAAAAAGCACGTATTTAAAACAAAGTTTTATTGAGATTACCAACTAATACACTGTTAACCGTTATTGATATCTTTTGTATTTTAAAATTGATTAATGTATCCAATTTTTTCAAATTTCTCTATATATGTCATTGTGAAATGTACAATATTTCTCCAGGAAAGGGGGACATTGATAATGTTAATCTAGAAGTGTTGGCGGTTCAATTCCAAAGAACAAACTGGTCTCGCTCCAATACATACATGTATGGCAAGTGTGACAATTAGCCAAGAGTGTTACTTTAAAGTAGTACTTTCCTACAGGTAACAAATATAGTTTGGGGTTTTTCATATAATCAATAAACGCAAACATCGCCAAAATTTTCCAGAAACTCTACTCGACACAAATGCGAACGACGGACATGGTAAGTTGTAAGTTCTCCTCTGTATGGCGTTATGGTAAAGGGCGTGAGGGGGTATACGGGGGTCACCATAGGTAGAATTTGCTGGCTTCCGCATTCGTCCATCCAGATTACTCTCCCTGAGAAGTTCAGCATCATGTCGACATCTTTCTTCCGGGGGGGGGGGGGGGAGTACTATTGAAACCAGCTTTTTGATTGGATTAAACTAACCAATGACCTTCGTCCTCTACACGTACACGTACAAGTATTGTTGCTAAATCTCTCTTAAATATGTATCCAAGTGCATGATGGTAAGAGGCGACCAATGTGGCCCCTAGAGAATCAGGGATGGTTTCCTCCTAGTAATCTATTTCGGGGACATTAAAGAAATAAAGATTAAATTACCTTAATGCTGAGCGTTTCACAGGCATTAACAACTGCCATTTTTTTAGGATTTTGGTATGTCCTGGAATAAGAACAGGACCATTGCCTTATTAACCTAGGCAAACGTTAAGCATTGCAGCTAAAAGTGAGGCATGCCAAGCAAGCTAACCAGAGAGAAATCCTGACAGTTGCAATGAGTTAAAAATATATTTTAGTCCTCTTTGTGTCCTCTAGTAGAAGGCACAAACGCAAATCCACAATCCTGCAGGAATAGCTCACATTAATCGCGTCTTACGATCATGCAGTCGGTAACAGCAGGTTTATTCTTTGAATGTGTTTTCCTAGAACTCTTCTACACATGTTGCGAAGAAGTTAAAGCCCAAACATACACAAATCAAATCATATGATCAATAGTGAAACGTTTCACTTCAGAATTGATCATTGCTCGGTGTAGTCAGGACGAAAGTATTTTCTCTTACATTTGCTTTTGTTTCGACAATCAGTAATAAAAGTCTTGGAGGGATCGTGACGCGCACCCTCGTACCATCTTCATTACTTCTATGTCAGTACGACCTTTTCTCTTTTTCTTATCTGTTTGATCGAGTCATGTTAACAGTAAATGTACCTTGAGGTAATTTTCTATCTAAATTGCATACCGCTGTGTATAAAAGACAACCTTCAAAGTGAGTTTGTCGTTTCAAATATATTTACTTGTCAAGTATTTAATGTGGAAGCAATAGAACCAATCATTCCAATATCAGAAAGATCTGTAAAGTACTTCCTGGGAAAAAGTGATGATATTCTTGAAATGTCAAAGACGAAGATGACCGCCTACAACAACTTTTTTTAATCAGTCTCAAATTAATACATGAACCAAGGGGAACCTTTCAATAAAATTTGAGAAATATCTGTCCATCGCTTTTAGCGATAAAAAACAATCAATATCCAAGATGGCTGCCTGGTGGCCACGTTGTTTTTAAGATGAGTCTTAATTTGAAACATGCACAGCTGGGAACTAAGGGAAACCTTCATATGAAAGGAATAGCGATAACAAACCTGAACTGACGAACTCGAAGATGTCCGCCATTTTGTTTATCTGATCAGTCTTAAAAGTGAACATGCACAATGAGAAATCAAGGGGAAACTTCATACTTCCTGAGAAATAGCGATAACAAACATTCAGTCAAAATCAAAGATGGCCACCTGTCGACAATTTTGTTCATCCAATCATACTCAAAAGTTAACATACACAACAAGGGACCAAGAAAAACTTATATAGCAAATTTGCAAAAAATATCCTTCCTGAACAATATCAATAACAAGAATTGTTTAAGAATGCAATTTAAGAAGCCTGATGATGGTTAACTTAAAACCGGTATGTTTCTACATTAACAGTATTGCTCTGAATAATACAACATCAATCGAAAGTAAAACGTTCCATGCACTTATATTTTTACCTGTATTGAGGGGTAGTCGAGTATTTTGCTTTCTTGAAGACCAATGGCGTTACAATTGTTCAGAACATCCTTCCACTTGAAGCTGTCGTAACTGATTTCGTCTGGTATGAACTCCTTCTGAAGGTACGTATCACGTATTATTCGCACCCAGTCCGTCTGTCTGTCTTGGATATTCCATACCAGTACTAGTCAAAATAAGTCCATTTAACAAACATAATGAAAGCATGTAATTCATTAGTATGACAGTCAGATATTTTTGTCCGAAAACAAATCACCGATCATCAACCTATGGACGCAATGTTATCTTGTACAGTCTCTTACAATAAAGGCATTGACGTCATTGCAATTAAGGTATCCGGGGAGAAAGAACATATGTACCCGACAGTCGAGCGTTTGGAATAGTAATGTTAGAAATTCAATCAATGGACGAAATATGAAGAAAACAAAATATCGCTTGTGATTTACTGAACTTATCTGACTATCAATTTCGAATGTAATTTTTCTAAAAAATGTTACGGGTTTTTTTATCCGATACAAAAGGCAGAGTCTAAAACCCTATTTTCAAAAATACCTGAGCTTCAATGTTATTGTGGCATCATTGTATTAAACCTAGCAAGCAAAGGATTAATTTATCACACGGAATTAATGATTCGATTTACGGAAAATACGTTTGGTTTGGTTTGGTTTAGTATTGTTTAACGTCATAGCAAGATGCATACGTGTAGTGTATGCGTGTGTTTTGGGAGGCTGCGATATGTTCGTGTTTGTCTCCTTGTGATCGCGCGGAACTGATGCCGACTTTATAGTGCTACCCCACTGAAATATACTGCCGAAGCCACCCAGCAGGACACCCCACCCGGTCACATTATACTGACACTGGCGAACCAGTCGTCCCACTCCTGAATTGCTGAGCGTTAACCAGGAGTAGAAAATACATAGACATACTCTTGTTTGATTTAATGAAAATAAGCTGTTTTGACCTTTTTTTGAAGGAAGTATATTATTTATTTAACTCAGAAACAAGGGCCACCATTGGAACATATTCTTATCGATTGTAATACTGAAACTATTTATAAATATCGGCTCTGTCTCTAGGCAACACCCATTAGGTTCCGTCACTGCTCTTATTGAAACACATCTTCCATTCATTCAAAATTGATTTAACTTTTCATAAGGATACTACACACCAAATTTGGTTTTAATTGATCTGTTTGTACGGAATCAGAAGGGATTTGAAGATTAAACTATCCCTTCACTTCCCCTTTTGGGCTCTGCCCACAGGGGGACCAAACTCTTCGTTTATACAAAATTGAGTCTCATTTATCCAAAGATACTCTACACAAAATTTGTTTAAAATCAATGAAGGAAAAGGATTTTTAACATTAAGCACAATATTCCCTGCTGACATTTGGAGTATTGGCAATAACTGGAAAGACTTTTTTGAATAAATTCGAGTTGAAAATGTTCTTAACTGTCTGTTAAAATTTTCAATTCAAATTACCCATTCTGCGAGAAAAAAATGGGTCCAACAGCAGATTAAATAGAGTTAGTATAGTCAGACATTTTAACAAAACACAATTTTACCTATATTTCCTTTTGGTTTTAGAACCCGCAACATTTCAGATAATGCTTTTTCATTTGCAAACCAATGGAAAGACTGGGCAGCCACAATCCCCTTCAACAGAAAATGCAAAGTTATTATTTTTCAAACTTTGTTTTTTTATGATCTCAATGAATTTTTTCTATTCGGGCCATTTGAGCCAGTTCTCAAATTTAACCTTTTCAATTTCATGATCAAATGAGACAAGTTACCTCTTGTTGTTTCTTAGTAAAGTTAAAAGTAATGAAATTTAAACATTTTAAAGATGTCCGTACCTCTACAGAATTATCCGGGAGAGGAATGGATTCGGCTGAATGTTGTTTCGCATTGACAGTTGGACAATTCCTTTGGAGAGTGTTGAAGAAATCTGGCATCGGCTCTGAAGCTATAAGTCTTTTCTCCTTACAAAGAAAATAATTTCAAAGGAAATGAAATGATTTATTGGATATCAAATTAAGATGACCAAGACCGATGCATTATTAAAACAAAGTATATAAATGAAATAAAAACGAAAGTTTGTAGCGTTACCGATATATTAATTTTCATCTAAGTGGAAATTGAAACTATAATTATCTTTTGGATAATAACAATGGATAAATAACATAGCGTGTGGATTACTTTTACTGTTAACCTTATATGCCATTATGGTGATTTTGTTCAATATGTTAAAGGTATAATGTATCGTCTATGAAAAGTTTATTTGATACAGTTTCTGTGTAATCAATATATCATTATTTACACTCAATTGATATAAATAGGAAAATCTGATATATTTTACAAGCACTTTCTTCACTGTTGATGTACTTTTCATATTTGCACACTTTCAATTTTCTTTTATTTCTTGTTTGAAGTTTTCATTTCTTGTATATTTTTGATATATTGTTTGCCCTAATGACTCACATTGTCGATGGTTCATAAAAAAATACAAAAACCAAAACAAATCAATCATATGGTGGTCTTATAGATATCAGTAAAAAATAATCCAACTTTCCATTGCGAATTGTATTTTTTATTAATGTAAAAGGCAAACTCTCTATTTTATAATATGCTATGGAATGCAGATGCATATCGTAGTAAGCGATACATGTGCTTTATTCATATGCAAGATGTAAGTGTTATTTTACGTCCTTATGATACCGGCGACATATTGCCTTATTGATGCTCGCAAAACAATTGTGATATTTGTTTGTATATTTCATCAAATATTCATTTCAATAAAGAAGTAAACAACATCTGAAAAACGTGTTGTAATGTGTTCATTTAGTATAGGTATCCATTTTTGATTTGTCACGCCAATGCAAACCTTGGGTAACAATGTTGACAACCGTTTAGTGAGCATTCCTGTACCAGCTCCTAGTTCCAATATATCACAAGCTCGGTCCGAATAACTTTCTTCTTCTAAGAGATATTTGGAAAAAAAATGCATTTTTAGTAAATGGACACAAGTGATTGAAACAAGGGTTTCACAAATATCCTATATTGCTATCTGCCTCTTTTAAAACCGTATCCAGTTGATGTCAATTTATCGTTACTACAATAACAATAACAATCTGTACAATGTTAATCTATCCATGAAAACAAAAATAATTTAAACCAATACTTATATTAAGAGAACGTAAGCTGATAGAAATGAAACAACTATTTCTAGTCATTTGTCATAACAACTGCGAGTTCCGTTTGTTAAACATAATAATTGTAAATCAGGTATAATAATGTTGACAATCACATCCTTGAATATTCGTGGATGAAGCTTCAGCAATCTGTAATACTGATGCGTTCAAATTTTTGTTTTCTTTACAATATTGTGATAACAAAGAATGCATGTTATGGAACATGGTTAATTGTTATATGTGTCAGCAAACACAACACAGGTCTTACATCAAGCATAAATACATAATACCGATTCATAGATGAAGCAAGAGTCATGATCATGCATATTCTAAGATATTTCCTTGGCATGGTTTCATTTTATAAGTTTAATAAGAGCGACAAAATGCATATGCATGCATGACTATGACACACACATAATTCATTAAGAGGGTAAAGATTTATTAAAAAAAATCACTAGAAATACGAAATCAGGAAACATCTATGAAAAAGTTCAATATCAGGAAACAGAACGACAAACAAAGTAAAGACTTAACAACGCCATATGGTATTTATATGAAGTTAACGATTGCATTTAGAAGTAGATACAAGCACAGCTAGACGTTGACAGTAAAATAATATGTACTAGATATGCTTGAAGACATAACATTCTAACCTTTCGTGGTTTCGAAATTTGTAGATAGCATACGAGCGATGCAGGTGACACACTCCTCGGCGTATTCCGGTCTATGCTGATCATACTTGGCTCCCTATAGGAATCAAATGAAACAAAATTTCAGAAAATAGTTTTGATGTCATAATAATTTAAACGTTAATAGAATGTCAAATCACATACAATAAAGGATATGTAGGTCATTTCTTTTTCATATTCCCGATCTTAATCAGATTTAACTTGCTTGTTACAGGGCAACGACAGTTCTTTAAGGCAGCGCAAACGGCTTACCTCTGCCTCAATGTTTACATTACACGATATAATTATCTATATCTAATCGTATTGCCAACTCACTATGGTAGCTAATGTTAGAATAAAACGATATTGTACTGCTGCATGAATATTAATAACGATTTGTTTTAACGCACGTTTTTAATCTGAAAACGGAACTTAATGGTTAAGGTTTTAAGTCGGTAATGCTTTAAACCAAATCAGTTTGCAAAATACTTACATCTGTGAATCCATCCTTCACCAGAGAATGTAGGTTGACGTTAACAGACATGTTTCGTAGTATGAATGATATTGGCCGAGTCCGATCCTCAACTATGGTGAATATGGTCCAGCTAGAGTACAATTCAACTCACTATAGTTATATGTACTGTATATCGCAGGTGTAAAGAAACAATAAGTAAAGGTGCGCATGTCTGAACGACTAGAGTACGACCTTCGAATTTCCTTTAGTGGGACCATAGCAACTAGTTGAAGTCTGTGCGTGCGTTAATATTTGAAAGGAATGCATTGATTGGCTGTTGTTTATTAACCTTTGTAGGCCCATAGGATGTAAGAGCCCTACAGTAGTAAGTCGTTGACGATTGAACTCAGTTATTTTTAGGTTCACGTGTCCTGTATCCTTTTAACCAGCCTGTTTCGTAGTAAGCCTGCTATTTAACGTTCACGTGTCCTACATTCTAACGCTGGCACATCTGTCACAAGAACTAGATATCAAACTCTATCTTTTACGGGTCACGTTTTATACCAGGTAACACTGATATGTTCTATAGTTATATTCTAATTCGCTTCCCTCAAACGAACATAAATTATTTATCATATAAAACTCCAACTCTTTACCGGGAGTTCGTCCGCCTAGCAACGAGGACGTACATATTTATTCAGGTAAAATTACATGGAAATCGGAAAATGGATCCGTAATCCCAGTGCTGTGCGGGAATTGCTGGCCACTTCGTCTTGTCCTTCATGCTCCAAAATAGCTGTACACAAATCAGGTTGTTTCATTCCCCATGTGAAAGGATTGCTGGAAATATAATGTAACAGCCAACCAAAAACTGAACAAGTACGAACAAGAATGGGCGGGTGGGCGAGAAGTCCGGACTGATCAACAGCTAGGCGAACACAGACACCTGTACGTGTCGCTACTGTCCCAAGCATACCTGTCCCACGTGCACTAGTAGCTGCACGTGCGAGACAAGACACGGACATCCCGTCCACTCGTTTACATAACAATGATAAATATATTTATATTCTAATTCGCTTCCCTCAAACGAACATAAATTATTTATCATATAAAACTCCAACTCTTTACCGGGAGTTCGTCCGCCTAGCAACGAGGACGTACAGAAAACAAAGAACGGGCAAAATCAGATTAATAAATTTAATTAATTTAACAAATCGTTTCGAGACAACAATGATGCAACATCATTACAAAATAACATTACAACCCTAGATTTTTTGATACTGATAGCTTAGACTCAAGCTTGTCCTTAACGTAACCATCTTTAGCGGTTTCTGATCTCCAGCGACCATGAGCTTAAAATAATCGATCGGGTACTCCCGCGTTAGCAGCCTGCCATTTCCTGTACCGTCTGAGATAAAGAGAACTAGTAGAAGCTGCTCTTGATTTAAGCACAAAATCGTGAAGATCAGAAGCCAAGTGGCGCAGACTAACATCTTGTATAGAAAGACGTTCTTTCCAAATACCAACAGAGAACATATCTGTACCTGTAAACAGTACAAACAAAAACTCGATAGAGAAAATGCATTTAAAATATCATTTGAATGTTCAAACAGAAAGAGAAAAATGACTATATTAACAGGTACAACAATAGACATATATATATCTAGATGAAATGTTTTCAATAATACTGATGCCGGAATACGTACAATGTCGCTATATAAACATCTGTACACCATAGGCCAAGTGACCTTTACAATGACATTCGGTACATGATGTAGCTTACGTATAGACCACGTGGTCTCTATTATACATGTAAATGATACCAAAAACATCTGTTTTGCCAAGTGGCAATATACAATTAGGTCAAGTGGCCTTATATAATGTTGCGAAAACTTACATGATGTCAAAACATCTCTTTTAGCCAAGTGGCGATATACAATTAGGCCAAGTGGCCTTATATACAAATGTAATGCTACGAAAACCTCAAGTCGGTCTCAGTCAAGTAATAACAATGAATTGCACTAAAACACACGTGACATTGAAATGTACGCATGACTTAACATATTTACAACTCAGTCTCACGCATGTGTGAGTAAGTGGGCGTGTATTACATCAGCCAATCGAAGTCCGTAAGCTGAATGCGCACTCGCATAACATGTAAATAAAACCACGTGGCGCTCATTGTAAACATTCGAAACGCACAACTAACACTTGTCCTCGAAATTCTGGTGACCCGAATAAGGATTTGTGCTGCCCTTGCACAAAAATACGGTCTGCCTCAGTGAAAACTAAGATATCACTAACACAAGTTGCTGTCGCTAAGTTATTTCCAAAAAGTAAGGGCCAGAACGGGGCCGAGATCCACTTAGGCAAAATCAGAGTACCAGAAGCGCGAGACTCAATCATATACTTAATCACCCGAGGGGCTAGATATACTGGTGGAACAAGCCAATTATTGTCACGAGACCAGTCCTGAGAAAATGCGTCAACTGCTTCTGAACTAGCATACCAAAAACGGGAATTAAACCTGGTGAGTTTAGTATTGGAGGGGTTAGCGAATCGATCAACTGTATGAGGACCCCACATGTTATTCAGAAATTCATAGAAATCTGACGAAGTTCCCCAATCGTCATAATCGACAATCTTACTGATATAATCTGCTTTCTCGTTATCAGACCTAGGAATCCACTCAATATTAAGGGAAATATTCAATGAAACACTAAGTTGAAATATTTGCAAAGCTAACTCTTGTAATTCATCCACGGAACTACCAGTCTGAATAATATAGACACAGTTTTGGTTATCAGTATACCAAGTGATAGAATGTCCCTTCAAAATACCAGAGAATGCCGACATAGCTAGACGAATGGCATTGGCTTCTCTCCAGGTAGAGCTTTTAGACGCCTCAACTGAGGTCCAAGCTTGGTGAAAGACAGCATTGTCAACTTCCACTACATAAGCTCCACAAGAATGACTACTGGCGTCCGAATAAACAACGCGCTTAGTTACAGGCGACGGACTTATAAAATGTTTCAAATTGAGTTTCCTCATATTTTTAAGCCAGAAGTCGACTTCAATTAAACATCCAGCGTCTCTGTCAAGAATAAAAGGAGAATCCCAGCCTGATCTAGATTCCACCATCTTATAGAGGTTACGTGACATTAACCGAGTGACATTACCCAGAACTTGGGACATGGAAATGATTTTACCGGTAGCACTAGCAACCTGGCGTGCGGTAACGAAACTACCCGGAATAGCTAATTTAGTCAAGACCTTAGAAAGACTCTCTATTCTCCTATCGGGAATAAACGTGGCGTTCTCAACTAGGTCACAAACAATACCTAACCACTCCAGACATTTCGTGGGGTACCAAACAGACTTCTCATTGTTAGCTACAAGCCCTGCTGAAACCAAACGTTCTCTGACAAAATCCGAATGCTTTAGACAGGTGTCAAAGTCCTGCTGAATAGCCCAGCCATCATCTAGATACACCACTATACAAATCCCATTCCTCCTCCAAAACTTGACAAGGGGCCTAATAACCTTCGTGAAAATATAAGGGGCTGATGAAAGTCCAAAAGGTAGCACCGTAAAACAGAAGTATCTAACTCTACCGTTCAAACACCAAGAAAATCCTAAGAATTTGTGGTGAGAAGGATGAATGTCAATATGATGATACCCTGATTTTAGGTCAAACTTAAACATGTAACCATTTGATACGATGTAGGAAGTAGCCGTTTTCCAATCTTCAAATTTAACTTTTTCCTTCCACACATGTAAATTAACTTCTCGTAAATCTAAAATTAGACGTTTTTTGCCAGTAGAACCAACCGAAACTGATAATGGATTCACTACAAAGGGAATGGTATTCATTTCAACAACGCTTCCTACTTCTAAAAGCTCTAGAATAGCTTTAGATACGAATTCTGAATGTTTAAATGCAGATTTATTATTAAAATTAAATTTGTTAGGCGGAGTAGATATAAATGGAATCAAATAACCCTCCGACAGAACATTCAAAATATAATCGTTGGCTTCTATAGTATTTCTCCAAAAATCAACACACCTTTTCAATCGGCCTTTGACCCCAGTATCGTTAAAATGTTTTTCAGATATTTCATAATTTTCCTCAAAGACACCAATTTCAAAAGTATCATCAGAGTACTTAACTTCATTTTCCGGCTGAATCCGACAGTTTTGGGCAGTTCGTTCTCCAGTGACCGACTCCTCCGCAGGCGTGGCACAAATCATTGGGGCCGGGAGTCCCACGGCCCCTCCCGCCGAATTGAGGCCAGAATCCTCCTCGTTGAAAACGACCTGAGGCCGGGCGCTGCTGCTGCCACTGGTGATAAAATCCACGAAAAGAATCATGAGTGTTGCCAGCACCAGGCATGTACTGGGGCCCGTGCTGTCTCCCGGGGGGTCCCCCTGCAGCCGCTGGGGTCGATTTTTTCGTGGAACGTTTCTTCCGCTGAGCCCTGAATTCAGCCTGACGAATTTTCTTTTCATCCTCTGAGTCACTGGCGAGCTCATCACTTTGGTACTCATTCACGGTATCCCAGCCACACACTGACTTGTCTGCAATACGTATCAGCTTATTACGTTTCTCAAGCAGAGTACGGATGTTACGTAAACTGTCCCTAGTTGAGGAGGAATCACCCTTCACCACAGCTTTCTCAGCCAATTCTACTTCTTCAAGGACTTCGGAATTGAAATCAAACTGTTTTTTATTTCCATTGAATTTAAATTTCACTTCTCTTTCTTTTTTCAAACGTTTGAAGGAGTTAGCGGACAAGTCATGTTCCTCCCTTATATCGTCCCGTAGACCTTTCAATTTTGCGTCAAGGTAGGTAGTAAATAAGTCCAAAGCCTGGAAGGCGTCGTTATTAGAACTAACTGGTTTTGGGGCCGGAACACTATCCGTAGGACCAATACTATCCCCCTCGGTATTTAACTCGGTCATATCAGCGATAACAAGTACGTCCGGACTGATCGACAGCTAGGCGAACACAGACACCTGTACGTGTCGCTACTGTCCCAAGCATACCTGTCCCACGTGCACTAGTAGCTGCACGTGCGAGACAAGACACGGACATCCCGTCCACTCGTTTACATAACAATGATAAATATATATAAGCTTTAGTAAAGCCCTAGCTAGTGAGTTACGCTGATGGAAGGTCGAGTG